TAAAAACAACCTGTTAGGAGGTGGTGTATGGGCCATAGCATTTCTTGCCCGGCGACCAAGAGTTGGTGAGCAGGAATTTGGTTGTTCTTGCTCAGTGACAGCAAGAACCGTGAACTCTGGCGGGCCACGAGACCCATATTCCGGTTTTGGAAGCTGGACGTCAAAAGTAAAGTCTCGCCCTTCAAGAGCCAGAAGTTCTTGTGGCAAAACATTGCGTTGGTAAGGAAACCTAGTAGAGAGATCGTTAGCAGTCAAGCCCACAAGAAGGTCAGCGGCCCTACCCAGCAGAACAAAAGCTGCTGATCCAGTGTTGTCATCAACTGTTACCCGAAGCTTGTAACTGCACAAAACATGTACAGGAGCATTTGAGGACACGAGAAAAGGCAAAAGGTATGGGGGCAAGAATGAAGAAAGGAATTACAAGTTCTGTGTTTGTTGAGGCACCAAACGACGGTGGTCATCACACCATTTGTCAACACCATCATAATCTATGGCTGCTTTGGAACAAAGCGCACAACCCAAGTAATACCACTGCATAGAAGAATCAACCGAAACGATCCGACCAGAGCAATGGTAACGCGTAGACTACAAAAAAGTAAACGGAAGAAATGATTAGGCGGACAAACAAATGAATTGAAAGGAACAGAAGCAGGTAAGCAGGAGAGCAAAAGGGGAAAAAGCATACATCGGCAACAGGTGGAAAACACAAGGCAAGTAATTGTGATACAGTCTTCGTACATTCAGCTTCGAAAGCCGCTGCCTCATTAGGAGTTGCAAACCTCGGAGGGTAATATTGACATGTATTAGTGCTGGCAAAGAACCTAACGAAAGCAAAAGCAAGGAACGCAACAAATTAGCAGGAACAAAAAGACAGCTGATGATGCAAAGGGAAAAAAAGATATGAGAAGGATAAGAAGAGACATACACAGATTGGACCAGGTGAGCCATTTCAGAAACAGGGTTGAGAACACAACGTGTGCCTGGAGTACTGGTAAGAGAGTAACCTCCTACAAAAGGGGTAAAGTTAATAAGGAAAAGAGGAAGGGAAATGAAAGGGAGAATATTGCGGCGGTAAGGTATATGCAGACCTTTCGTAGCGCCAGTGACCCGAAGTGAGCAAACAGCAAGCATAACTGGGCCAGAACGACCAAGGACAGCCAGTTCCTGACCATTGAGATTCCGAGCTATCTCACTCCACAGACTGATATCAAGAAACATGTGACTGGGCAAGAAAGCACCGAAAGTAAGTAACAAGTGTATTACAGTCGATAAAGCAGTGGTGTGCATCTGTAACATACTTTTCATTCTGAAGCACCAAATCACTCCGCACAGTGGTACCGAATGAAGTCACAGTGCTAGAAACGCCTGTGATGCTAACAACAGCGCCAACGACATCTGACAGAGGCACAAGCAAGAGAAGAAAGGAAAGGATGGTAATCAGTACACTACAGAACGAACAGCAAGAGACGTAAAGAATACAGAATAAGACCTGTTAGATAAACCGATGAACGTATGCGGGAATGAAGCGAGATAAACGGGGTAAATTCGAACGCATCCGGCCAGAATGAAGGCGACGAACGGGTCACGTCTTCGAACTGTGTAGCGGCAGAGAGGATGATGGTCAACTTATGAGAGCAAGAACGATACGAAGGGGCCGGTGGCTTGACGCGGAAATTGCTAACGAAGTAAACGCTACCCAACTGCAGAAGCGGAGCAAAATGGCGCGTGAGTTCCGAAGGAGCCGTGCCCTGAATCAAAGTACCCTGGGCAGAAAAGAAACGAACATCAGAGGGCTGTAAACAGAAGGGAGGCGCAAGATTGCATGGCAAAAAAAATAGGAAAGCAGCGCTAACCTCCTCATCATTCCAAAGAGTGCAGTAGTTGAAGATTAATTTAGGATTCTTCAGACCATAAGACCCCCACGCATTAAGGAGGCGCAGCTTCAGAAGAGTCTGAGGGCCATCGGAGTCGCTGAGGTCAAGAAGCAATTTATGGGTCACCATGGAAGAGCAATAGAAGAAAGCAAGCGAGCAAGCAAGATAGAAGAGGGAAAGTCTGTGAGAAGCATAAATGAAAGGTAGCAAAGCAAAACAAGACTTTTGTGGGGAAAGGAACAGATGAGGAAGCGCCAGACCTGTCATCTCCAGGGGAAAGGTGAGGAGTTCCGAAAACCGATCAGTTGCAGAGAGAAGAGAAGTCGCTGGCGAAGCAACCCAGGCAAAAAGCAGAGAGGAAAGAGAGAGGAAAGCAATGATTACAAACGAGAACTCAGTAAAAATCTGGCAAAGAACAACAGTGTTAGGACATGACTCTACGAAACAGTAAAGTTGTAACTTGTTCTTTTAAAGAGATAATTTATAAAGACGCTGTCTAACATCCCAAACATTTTTCCCACGAAAATATTGTTGGTTTTTTGAAACGGCGCCTCTTCTCTCTTCTTTGTATCATGACTTGGATCTCTCTCTCCTAACCTGTTGGGATAAATCCATCGAGCAGAGAAGTAAACAACACAATCTCAACATTGGATTTTTTCTTTGGGAAACAAACTCAAGGAGTCGAAGGAAGGAAGAAGTGGGGGCGACTTTCCGGCCATCCAAAAAGCTCTTCTTCCTTCCTTCCACTCTTTCCGGTCGGCCCCCATCGGACGCCTTGATCTAAGATCACCTCGCCGTGTGCGGGGCTCATATCCTTGGAGACGGCAACTTTGCAACGGCAGTCTTTCCGCCTTGGGTAAATTTCTAGAGGGAAAGGAAGCTGGAATCATCGCCCACAAAGTTATCGTTCTTCCTAATTGGGGATTGTGTTATCGCCTTGCTGCGACTCTGCCGTCTCCGGCCTTCTAGCCTTGTGTGGCGCTGGCTTTTTTTCACTTTTTAGGGGTTCGTCCTTCTGTCGGCTGCCGGATCTGACTGTGAATTTGCAGAACGGAAACCTTCCCCGACGGCTTCTCCTCTTCAGCTTGAATTCAACAAGTCTTCGCATCCCCTGCTCACTTATTTGTCTACGGCAGTCAATCATGTGGCAGGAAGAATTGAAGGGCTAGAGGCAGTACTCCAACCTTTACCGCCGCTACAAGACTTTCCCCTAAAATTGATGGCCGTCTTTCCACTGCCCGTCACAATCCCGAGTGTAGATGGCTCTGGCTCTCCTAACATCACAGATTCACAGATCATCTACTATGCCCCTGCCTCCTCTCCTCTTCGTTTGCCTGCAGGACATGTAAATTGGAGCTCCACCACCCCCAAACTCTCCAACCTGCCCAGCGAAGGCTCATCGGAGTATCATTTCCGCCGGTGGTGGGCATGGTCATCGGCACCGCCTCGGGCTTCGGGTGTGAAGACGCGTGTACCATATTCCCATCAGCTTCCTTCGTGCTGTCAAGGAGCTTCCAGTATGATCGACACGTGTCGTATCTTAACTCTTATCCTTATGGGAAGCGGTCACTTGGTTCGTGACCTGTGAATGATTATTATTTTGAAACTATTTTATGTGCTTAATTTATTCACGCTAATATCTGTGCATAATTCACACCTATTAGTTATTATTACTTTCTGATTGGTCTTTATTAATCGGTCGCTCAATTGGACTTACACGCTAGTCATTTCATGGGCTTTTATTTTCGCATTAGTTTACCCAGATATCTGTAGTCAATTTCCTAGGCCTTTAGCCTTTGTCCAGTTTCGGTTGGGCTTCTTGAGCCTTTTGCCTGTGGCTTCCTTTTCCTTTGTTTTTTCTGCAGGTGGGCATGTCAGCATGTGTATCTGGCATGGATTGACATTTCTTTGCCTTATGATTGACATAATGGACGTTTAAGCTTGGGCAAAAGACACGTGGTTCGGTCCTTAACGGCTTGGTCTTGACAGAGTGAAGCCATATCCTTTTTATGGATTTTTAGTGTTTTTTCCCTATTTTCCTAGGGAACTAACAGAGCTGCCCATTTTGTGGCATAAAGGGCTCTTTCATCGCCAGGTCGATTAGTATCGACTGACGTTTCTTTTACTCATTGTAATCATATCTGTCTATTATTTCATCTGACTATGATAAAAAAAAAATATATATTGTTGGTTTTGGCCTGGGTTAATTGCATGGTTGGTCACTGGGTTTACTAAAAACGTTCATGTTTGGTCACTGAAAATATTTAATTCCATTCATGGTCACTAAGATTAGTTCAATAGTTCAAGTTTGGTCACTCTCCGTTAGTCTCCATTAGTTTTTGCTGATGTGGCAGTCAACTATTATAGTTGACCGTTAAATGAGTGATGTGGCCATTAAAAAATTATTAAAATATTAAAAAATAAATATTTACAATTTCCACCTCATTTTACAACTATTAAAATATAAAAATAAAACTTAATAGATGGTCATTCTCAATTCTCATCCCTCCTCCTTCGATTCCTCTCCCCCTCCTTCCAATTAAAAAAACAATCATATCAGCTCTCGCTCCTCCTCATCGCTGTTACACAAAACCACCCTCTGTCGTTGATCTGCGCTTTCTCTCCTTCCAGTCCCAGCAGCAGCGATACTCTCTCCTCCTCGCCTTCATCTAACTCCTCTGAAAACGCCGCCGCCGCAAGCCGCACTCCTCTCCGCCGCTGTGATATCCTCCTAGCTCCAGTCCCACAGTGTCTCCAGTATCCCCTCTATCTCCAATCTCCATCGTTTTCTAGACTTCAATCCCTGTGCCCAAAATTGTAACCCTAAATTCCGCGAACTATGGAATGTAGCGTTCGTTAATCCGATTGGATAGCAGCCGTGGAGCCTATTTGCTTGTATCTCTGCTAGCGCGGACTCCGGCGGCAAGCCAACTTCAACGATAATCGCTTTTCGATTTCTTGCTTTCGATAGAACTGAATTGATCAGTAGAAAGCCGCTTAGCATCCATTGCTCTTGCTGTGAATTGGGGAAAATGAAAATTGGGCGTAGTGGGGAATATGATACTACCGACAGGCGACAGGTTAAGCCATCTTCCAGAACCAATTCTCCATCACATCCTTTCGTTCATGGACACCATATCTGCCGTTCAAACCTCGGTGTTGTCTCGGTCATGGAACCGGGTGTGGAAACATGTCCCTGTCCTGGAACTGTGCCGCCTTTCCTTCTACGAGTATTTGAGTTTCCTGTTGTTTGTCTCGGAGATTTTGGACCTCCGCTATGACCTTAGTCTCCGCAAGTTGAGCTACATGGACAACTATAGGCATAGGCATGAGAGGGGTGCAGTTTCGAGATGCCGGCGCCGCTGCATACGAGTCTTGTTCCTCTGTTACAGATGCCGGCGCAGGAGAAAGAATAGCCGAGCGAGCGGCAACGACGCGGAACGAGGACGGCAGAGCTAGTGCCTAAAACATTTGCACCTTGCTCTCGTGGTGGCTGGCTCTCGGCGGCGAGCCACGTAAGGATTCGCGAACGTACGGTGGGAATTGCGATTCCTGATCTCGGAATTCAATGAGCTTGGCGGCGGAGGTAAGGGTCAAATTTAGTGATCTTAGCGAGGTGGGAGAGGGAATCGCGTGTGGAACCGGAAGTGGAAGATCGAGAAGTGAGAGTGGAGATTAGGGTTTCCGTCGGCGGGTGATGATGGAATTGGGATTGGTCTCAGGTGGATTTTGGGGAAGGAGGAGTCCAATTGAGGGCCTAGTTCGAAATCAGCTACTGCTATCAGCCAAGATGTCCATCAGAGTGACAGATTTACGGGGTTGTTAGGGAAATATTTAAATTTTATTATTTTAATATTTTTTAATGGCCACGTCACTCATTTAACGGTCAACCATAATAGTTGACTGCCACATCAGCAAAAACTAACGGAGACTAACGGAGAGTGACCAAACTTGAACTATTAAACTAATTTTAGTGACCATGAATGAAATTAAATATTTGCAGTGACCAAACATGAACGTTTTTAGCAAACCTAGTGACCATCATTGCAATTAGCCCTTTTGGCCTCGATCCTCATGGTTTTCGATTTGGAGTGCAATTCAATGTGACTTCTCATAAGTGCACCAATCCTTGTTGTACTCCACCTTAAGCATGTTTAACTTCGGAGTTCTCACAAGAACTCCTCCATTTCACCCCAAAAGGCGTCTTGTCAGTTCAAGAGGGATGCGGAGAGACTCTGATACCACTGTCCACTTGTAACATCCCGAACCTTTTCCCGACGAATATATTGTCCGCTTTGGGCCTCGATCGTCACGGTTTTCGACTTGGGGTGCAATTTAAGGTGACTTCCCATAAGGTCACTGATAGACCGATAATTATACATGTTTTTACCCCTATTCTGAGGCCGTTTGCGACGAGGAATCTCGTGTTTTAAGCCGATTTCACGCTAGGTTGTGTGTTTATGTCATATTTCAGGTCCCGGCGTTGGAATCGAGGCGGAGAAACGAGTTCTGGGTCGAAAGGAGCAAGGTTGGGACGAATAGGGCTGGAGGAGGAAAATACCCGGTCAGGTGGCCAAAAACCCGACCGGGTATTAACCAAATTTGGGCGCCCGAGAAACAGAGAGGGGCCCGGGCACAGCAGTTAAATCCCCGGTCGGGGATTTTGGTGTTGGACCGGGGATTTCCCTCTTTAGTGAAACGGGGCGTTGCAGAGATACCCGGTCAGAACCCAAAATACCCGACCGGGTATTTTGACCGGGTATCGCGACCAGACAGAGGATTTAAGGGAGAAGAAGGCCAACATTGAAGGGTTCCGAGTTTTTGAGAGAGAAACTGATACCTAGAGAGAGAAAGCGTCGAACCAGAGTTCCCAAGCGCCATAGATCGATCTTCAACACCATTGGAGCCCGTCTTGAGCTTGGAGAAGTGCGATTAAACGTCCAGAAGCAGGAATCCAACTTCACAGTATGATTTCCGTGTCTGAATCTGCTTTTGCTTCTTTCTCTATGGAGTAGTTTCCCCATTCATCTGGGTATGGAGAACCCTAGATTTGTATGCTAGGTCTGATTGTATGAACCCAAGTACAGTGTTTGTGAATTGATTATATTCGATTGAGGTTTGAATGATTGAATGACTTGAATCCTGATCAAATTCCTGTTGTTTCTGCTTTTGACCTGGAATGAGGATATCTGCCTAGGTTGATAGAGTACCCTTAATCAAAGGTGGCGAATTGGTGACTTTAGTCGAGGAGCCAATTCGCTATTCTGTACCGAAGTCAATTTGGTAGTGGAGGTTTGGTTCATTAGGGCATCAATCTGTTTACTCCGGTGGAGGTTAGTCGCCCGCTAGAGACTCAGATTGAGAGGGTCTGGAGACCTTTAGTCGAGACTTCAGGCTAATTGAGAACCTTCCGCAGTATAACTTTCATGAAAACTGAACTTGGTAAATTGCAATCCGACTTAACTGCAGTCTAGGGGGAAACCATATCCGGGTGACCTCTCTTGACTTGACAACAAACCGTTTACTTGCTTTGTGTTTTGTTTGCTTGAGTTTCACTAAAAGTTCACTGCTAAATAACAAGAATTCACCGAGTAGTCATCACATCTAGGACCCGGGTTGACATTAAAACCCGACCCGCTATACTACGCTTTAGGAAGTGGTTATACTTGGCCATTTTCTAGGGTGACAGTAGGAGTGAGTCAAGTTTTTGGCGCCGTTGCCGGGGACGGCTAGGTTGTTGAAGAAAAGTGATTTCTGTTACTTTGGCATTTTCATTTTTGCATTGAGTTTTGTCTTTCCCACTTGTGCCTTCACGGGGTTTGCATTGCTTGATTGTGTGCAGATAGTGCATGACCCGTAGCCAGTCGGGAAGTTTACTGCCGTTGAATCCTGAGATTGAGCGCACCTGCAAACAACTTCGGAGACAACAGCGAGCTAGACTGGCTACGGTGGAGCGCCGAGACGGCCAAGTGACCAGCGACTCCGAGGACGAGCACGAGATGGAAGGCAATCAGAACCCGCCTCCTCAGAACCAGATCCTGGGGAACGACCAAAACCCCCCGGGACCTGGGAACCATCATCATCCGCCACCACCGGGTCCCACCTTGGAGTACTTCTATACTCCACGGATTGCTGACATCCGCCCGGTCATCCTCTATCCACCCATTCCTGCAAACAACTTCGAGATCAAGCCATGCTGGATTCAACTCATCACCACCTCTATCCAGTTCCATGGCTTGAAGGATGAGGAAGCCCGGGTACACCTTTCCCGTTTTCTGCAGCTGACGAACGGGTTCAAGCTGAACGGTGTTCCGGACGATGCAATCCGCCTTCACCTCTTCCCCCATTCTCTGGCGGGGAATGCTAAGAGGTGGTTGGAGACCCAGCCCCCATTGTCCATCACCTCTTGGGACGATCTGGCTGACAAGTTCGTGCACCGGTATTATCCGGCCTCGAAGACCACAGAGATACAGCGGGAGATCACTCACTTCCGCCAGGAGCCAGATGAGTCCCTTCGAGATGCATGGGAGCGGTACATGGGATACTTCTGGCAGTGTCCCCATCACGGTTTCAGCGATGCCTACACAGTAGGGAACTTCTACAGCGCCCTCACTCCAGACAGCCAGAGGGTGATTGAGTCTTTATGCCCAGGAGGGGATATCCTTACTAAGACTCCACCCGAGCTGAACCAGATGATCAGTACCTTGGCTGCCCGAGACCATTCTTGGGGACAGAACAGAGGAAGGAACTCCCGGGATCGGGGTGTGCATGCTATGGAGGCTAGGTCCGGGTTAGAGCAGCAAGTGGCTGAGTTGGTGCAGACGTTGAAGCAGCCTAACAGTATCTTTCCGGGCCGAGGTGTAGCTACGCCTCCAGTAGCCCAGTGCCAGTGGTGTGAGAGCCCGAATCACCTGGTGGAGGATTGTCAATCTATGATGGAGTCTTCTACTCCCCAGGAGCAGGTGGACTTCATAGCAAATGCTCGGCGCCTGGACCCATACAGCAACACCTACAATGAGGGATGGCGCCAGCATCCCAACTTCGCCTGGAGCAGCAACACCAACAAACCACCTGGTTTCCCAGCACCAGCAGGTGGTTTCCAGCAGAGGCAGCCCTTCCAGGCTAGGCAGGGGCCACCACCACAGCAGCAGCCCTACCAGCCTAGGCAAGGGCAGCCATTCCAGCAGCCCTAGCGCCAGTTCGCTCAGCCTCCAGCAGCCGCAGCACCAGATCCTCAGATATCTGATCTGAAGAATATTTTGCAGGCTTTCATGACCACCAGTCAGGCGAACTTCACGAGGATGGATCAGAACATCGCCTCCCTAGAGGCAGGCCAGAGGAACCAAGGTGCCATTCTGCAGGATCTCCAGAATCAGATTGGGAGCCTAGCTCGCCAGAACACCACCAGGGCACCGGGGACTCTGCCTGCCACCACCATTCCCAATCCACGGGACCCTCATGAGACCGCACATGTCATCACCACCAGGAGTGGCAAGACTACATCTGCTGCTCCTGCTCAGCCCAGGCGAGACGAACCACTACCTGCTTCAACACCTCCAGCTGATACTGCAGAAGTGGGGGAAGGCAGCGCAACACCTGCTCCAAGGCCACAACCTGTGGTTAAGGAGCATACACCCCAGCTGCCCTTCCCCACTCGGCTCCATAGAGACAGGCTGGAGACAGAGTTTGCCAAGTTCATGGCAATGTTGAAGCAGGTCAACATCAGCATGCCGTTCGTGGAGGCACTGTCGAAGATGCCCAAGTATGCCAAGTTTATGAAAGACCTCCTCACCAACAAGAAGAAACTTGGGGATCTTTCGACAGTGATGCTCAGCGAGGAGTGTTCTGCCATCCTGCAGAACAAGCTGCCAGAGAAGCGCAAAGACCCAGGGAGTTTCACTATCCCTCTTGTTATTGGTAGCATGCATGTAGGAAAGTCCTTGGCGGATTTGGGCGCTAGTATTAATGTCATGCCCTATAAACTGTTTAAGAAGCTAGACCTAGGTGAACCTAGAGCTACTAGGATGAGCATTCAGTTAGCTGATCGTTCTATCGTGCATCCTAGGGGTATCATTGAGGACTTGCTTGTTAATGTTGGTGCATTCACATATCCTGTTGACTTTGTTATTTTGGATATAAATGAGGATGTGGATGTGCCTTTGATTTTGGGTAGACCATTTCTCGCCACCGCCAAGGCGCTTATTGATGTGCATAGTGGTAAATTGATTCTGCGTGCTGGTGATGAACAGGCTACTTTTTCTGTGTCTGACAATGGGAAACATTCTCATTTGCATGATGACATAGACTACTGTGATGTGCTTGCCGATTATGAGACCGCACTCGCCATCACGAGTGCGGGTACTGATGATGCTCTTGAGCGTTGTATTTTGCTAGGTGAGCAGGCATTGCAGGAGCCGCAGCTGGCGGAACAGTTGGCCGCATTGGAGAGTGGCCCTTTC